AAAGGAATTCTGGGGTTTGGAAAAGGAATTCCAGGTTTAGGCAAGGAATTCTGTTATTTGGCAAAGAAATTCTGGGATTTGGCAAAGAAATTCCAGGGTTTGGCAAAGGAATTCTGGGTTTGGCAAAGGAATTCCCGGGTTTGGTGAAGAAATCATGGGGTTTGGGAAAGGAATTCCAGGATTTCGCAAAGGAATTCTGGGTTTTGGCGAAGAAATTCTGGGGTCTGGTAAATGAATTCTGGGGTTTGGCAAAGGAATAATGGGATTTGGCAAAGGAATTCTGGGATGTTGTGACAGAATTCTGGGATTTGGCGAAGAATTACAGGATTTGGCAAAGGAATTCTGGGTTTGGGAAAGGAATTCCGGGGTTTGGTGAAGAAATCATGGGGTTTGGGAAAGAAATTCCAGGGTTTGTGAAGGAATTCTGTTATTTCATCTGCAGTTTTCAATGCCTACTGAGGGTTTTGGGGTTCTCCTGGAGAAACACATCCCATAGGTGGAATTTTTGTTCTATCCCATTGTTTTCCTTTCTCTTTTATTATTTATGGGATTTGGGGTTAATTTGGAGTTTTTTGACCCTTTCATTTGCAATTCTCAAAGGCTGTGGGGTTCTCCTGGAGAAACACATCCCATAGGTGGAATTTTTGTTCTATCCCATTGTTTCCATTTCTCTCTTATTATTTATAGGATTTGGGGTTAATTTGGGGTTTTTTTGACCCTTTTATTTGCAGTTCTCAAAGGCTTTGGGGTTCTCCTGTCCCGACAGCCACATTCCCAATTCCAGGATTTACCTTTTCAAGTTCAGGATCCTGGAATGGGAACTGCCCCACGATTTTCTTATAAACCTCCTCATCGGGAACCGGGATGGGGCTGTAATTATCCGAGTCAAGGATATTCCTAAAAAAAAAGGGAAGGGGGGTTAAAAAGAGAGGGAGAACAATTTCCTGTGGGGTCAGGAGAGTTCAGGTGATCCCAAATTCCTGCAGGAGCAACCGGGGATGGAGCGAGGGCACAAAATCCGGGAATGGGGTGGGATTTAGGGAAGGACCCTAAATCCTATCCCAGTGACCCCAAATCCCATCCCAGTGATCCCATCCCTGTTTTCCTGCTGGATGCAATTCCATTTATTCCATATATTTCAATCCCTACATTGGATATTTAAGAAAATTTACAAAAACAGGATGATCATTTCTTCCTTTGCCAAGCTAAGGGTGTGCAAAAGAGCTGGATTGGGTCTTTTTTTCTTAAAAATATATTACAAAATAATATAAACTATATTATTAAGGGATATTTGCTATATTATAAAATGTTACCAAAAATATATTATAATATAAATTACATTACAATAGAATATTTACTATATTATAAAATGTTATCAGAAATATATTACAAAATATAAATTATATTTTAAATGAATATTTAATATAAAATGTTTTTAAAAATATATTATAAAATAATAAAAATTATAGTATAAAGGAATATCTACTACATTATAAAATGTTATCAAAAATATATTATAAAATAATATAGATTATATTGTAAAGGAGTATTCACTATATTATAAAAAGTTATAAAACATATATTATAAAATAATATAGATTATATTATAATGGAATATTTACTATAAAATGTTTTTAAAAATTTATTACAATATAATATAGTTTGTATTATACAGGAATATTTACTATATTATAAAAAGTTATAAAAAATATATTACGAAATAATAGAAATTATATTATAAAGGAGTATTTCTATATTATAAAATGCTATCAAAAATATGTTATGAAATAATGTAGAATACATTATAAAGAAATATTTACTATATTACATAATATTATAATCAAAAATATACTACAAAATGATAGAAATTATATTATAAAGGAATATTTACTATGAAATGTTTTTAAAAATATGTTACAAAATAATACAAATTATGTTATAAAGGAAAATTTACTATATTATAAAATGTTATCAAAATAATATTACAAAATAATGTAGATTATATTATAAATGAATATTTACTATAAAATGCTTTTAAAATATATTACAAAATAATATAGATGATATTATAAAGGAATATCTACTATATTATAAAAAGTTATAAAAAATATATTACAAAATAATAGAAATTATATTATAAAGGAGTATTTTTATATTATAAAATATTATCAAAAATATACTACAAAATAATATAAATTATAAAGGAATATTTACTATATTATAAAATGTCATAAAAATATAAAATAATACAAACTATATTATAAAGGAGTATTTACTATATTATATAATGTTATCAAAATATATTATAAAATAATATAAATTATATTATTAAGAAATATTTACTATAAAATATTACCAATTCTATCACAAAATAACAGCAACTCTATTATAAATAACACCCGGACTCTCCAGGGGTGGCACTGGATGAATTTCCAGCTCCCTTCCCACCCAAAGAAAGGAAACAAAAGGAGAAAACCTTAATGCCACAACACCAAAAGAAAACCTTACCCCACAACACCAAACCATGCGATGAACCCCTCCAAATCCCATAATTAACCCCATTAAAATCCCATAATTTCCATCCCAATCCCCTCCATGCCCTCACCTGAACACCCCGGCCCATTTGCGCAGCAGGGTCTCGCTGTACTGCTCCTGGATCTCCAGCAGCAGCTCAAAGAGCCGGCTCACCGGGAACCCGTAACCCTGGAAAAACAGAAATCCCAATCAGGAATGGTGAAATCACCAACACATCGTGTCCCATGGCTTTTTTTTTAAATATATTTTTTTATATTTTTTAATATATTTTTTACATATTTTTAATATATTTTTAATATATTTATATATATATTTTAACATATTTTAATATATTTTTAATATATTTTAATGTATTTTTTATATATTTTCTAAGTATTTTTTAGATAATTTTTGTAGTCTTTATAACTTTTGTACTCTTTATAATTTTTGTACACTTTGCCCTCTTTGATGATTTTTGGGCTGAGCTCATCCCATTGGTGATTTTTGGGTGATCCCAAGCTCATCCCCTCTTTGCTGATTTTTGGGCTGAGTTCATCCCCTTTTTGGTGGTTTTTGGGGTGATCCTGAATCCAACCCCCCACTGGTGATTTTTGGG